AAGTAAATTAATTTTTTAGAGTGTACACTTCATATCAAATACCGTCCCTGGATTTAATGAGCACTGATTTTGATATGTTTTTTAAAGTATAGCCTAATTAGTGCTGACAGCTTTAAAAACATGAAAATACAAGTTGCTAACAAGCATTCCATTCTAGAATCGCTTCAGCAAAGGTCAGTAATTTTATAGAGTCATATTGCCCCCTCAGTTTATTGCAATGAAGAGGATTAAATGAGCAGAAAAATCTATGGGAAACCTCAGCTACAATGCTGTTGGGTTGCTGAGTGGGGTGGTCATAAGTTGGTACAGCATCAACCCCCATTTTCTCTAAGTCTACAGTATATGAGCTCACGGGTTTGGAGCTTTGTGCTGACTGGGTTGAGTGGATTGAGCCTAGGGCCAGTTTGGGAGGTGCCTGTGGATTTGGTGGGAGGAAGGGGTTTGAGAAAATAGGAGGGCTGCTCATATGGCATCAGTTCTCAGCAAACCCAGTGAGACCATTCCCTCCTGATGCCCCATAAAATTACATCAATCTGGCAGCATTATCTTATGTTAGTTCCCAACTGGTGCGCCCATCTCTTCTTAAAGTACAGGGTCGGGGAAGTACTGGAGCATGCACTTCACTTTAAGCATGATATTCAACTAGACAACTACACAGGTATTCATAATGGCAGTAGTTGAGTATGTGCTTAAGGGCTGTGCTGGACCAGGCTGTAAAATAACGGTAGTGGGACAGAGGAGACTTAAGAGCTTGTGACAACATGACTCCTGAAGGGAACTTCGAGAACATCCTGTGTTGCCCCCGTGTCAACACTGAGAAGTGCGTTCTACCCTCCTGCTGCTGCTCAGTATACACCCAAGCCCAAAAATTAGGCAGTGGAGGCAGTTTAAGGTGTCCCTGAGCATGAGTCATGGACCACCCTCTGGATCTAAAGCCTTTCCTTATGGACCCTGGGACACCCACAGACCTGGAGAATGAAAACAACTTTTACTACACCAGAAGGCAAACCTCACTTTCCTGCCCCATTAGATGAGTGGGAGCACCACATCCCTCCTTTCTGTCTAATGTTGGCCCTCCCGTGGCTTTTTTGCATGCTGAAGGGAGGGTACTACAATTTAAAAAACCACAATGATAGTAGCATCCTTCTGAATGCACAGCTCCTCTACAGGGGAGATAGATGATATTCAGCTGAGATCTCACCACATCTGGCACCTCAGTAGGAAAGGCAGAGTCCTAGAATTCAGACCTACAGGGAGTGCCTGTGTGCAGAATTTCATGACAGTGTTGGAGAACTGTGCCTTTGGGAATGTTGCCTCCTCTCAAAATAAATGGGTAATTTTTACTAAGTAAACAAGAATCACTCTTGGCATAAATCGACATAACCCTGACAGAGGGCTCTGTTCTATTCTTATTTCCATGCAGGTAAATGGGGTTCCATATGTTCAACTCTGTTGTTTGGTTAATTTTGTGTCATTAATACCTTCACTTTAAACCCATTAAGATCCTGATCCTGCACTTGACGGGTGCTCACAATCTCAACTTTACTTTCATTTGCTTAATGGTCTGAAGGAGCTCTGATGTGCCTTTTAGGCATACAGTGAATTTTAAGAGAATGAGAAGCACCTGCAATAGGACAACACTTAAGCACATGCTTAATTTTAAGCATAAGTGTTTTCCTGGACTGAGGCTCAAGTGCACAGTGACATCCAGTTTTAACAGCACAGAGGGTTATATTTAAATATGGATGATGAATTCAACTGGCTATAAAAAGACTTATATTTACACTTATCTCTGATTAGCTCAGACATTTGGCAATCAGATAAAACATGCCATCAGAAATTTCTGAGTAACAGAACCATTACACACCTACTTTGTTATTTCCCCTTCTGAGCAGTCACTGACTGAATACCACAACTGTGAGAAATTATTCATTAATAGTGAGAACACAACATTTACAAAAAAGCTGGTGCTACTAATCATTTGACCAGTAAAGATATCTGCCAGTGACAATGGTTAAACCTCTCACTGGCTTGATCAAAAGTCTACGATAAGACCAGTTGCTCTGCTAATCAACAATTTTACTCACAGCAAGTGCCTCTGTTGACCTTTGACATCACAGAAAACCTTTGACACAGTGGATTTACAATACACATAAAAGCTCAATCTCACTCTATCCTAGTTTTCTTCAATGCAAATGGAGGAGTTTAAAGCCATAGCCAAGAAGAATGTCTTTACTATAATTATAAATTACCTGTAACTCAAGAACTGCATTTCTATATAGAGAAAATAGGCAAAGGATTACAAAACATCTTGGATCTAAACCCAGCTCTGCTTATGCTTTAGGAACAGATATTGATATCATTTACATAGAAGAATTATTACTTAGGCTTAGGTACTTGAAATGATTGTTTTATATGTTAGTAAAGAATGAAAAATGTTTTCTTTAAGTAACCAAGTGCCAATCTGCACAAAGCCTTTTGTCTTTTAGCTACGTGTTTCTGAACAACATTTTTATCATTCAAAGCTTTTTAAAATCCATGATAAAAAAATCATTTCAATGTATATAAACAAGTTAATGGAGTAAGTGAAAACAAAGTACATTTCTTAATGGGAGTGTTAGGTTGCCCTCTCTAGGCCCTGGCTCTCAATACTAGTTTCTGTAGGCTCTCTGCCAAAGAAGTATCGCTGTTGCTGTTTCTGCTGCTGCTACTCTGCTAATGAATGACTAACTTAGGCCAGAGGGGAAATGACATCACCGGGGTGTAAAACAGAACTGTATTAGGAAACTTTCTACCTGCTTTGCATTTGTCATAATTATTCTATACAATGCAATAATCATTTGCATAATTTCAAGGCATGCCATTATCTCAAATGAAAATTGTTTTCATATGGTTGAATAATTCAGAATGACATCACTTAAAGCCCCAATGAAATACACAAGTATAATCATTCAGCTAATTACCAGCACTTTGTATTTAAAAAAAAAATCAAATCATGCATGTTATTAGGAATGTACATGCAGCTGAGAATTACTGTATAGATTCTTCTTTACTGTATACATTCTTCTTTATAATGGTAGGATTAATTTTCTCTGATGTTCATACCATAGTAACATGAGCTGATCATTAAGGTATATTAAAATGATTTGTTCCCTTCCTCACTCCCTCCCTTTCAAAACTCTTGCATGTAAAGCACTCATATACATGCAGCTTTTGCTGTTAAATATTAATCATCAGCAATTTTAAAGCATCTGTCTTTCACTGTCATCTCCTTATTCTTAAGAAAAGGGTTCCCACTTGAAATTGCAAGCAGAGTGAGCAGAGTGACACTGTGACAGAGGGGAGTTAAAAACAAACAAACAATGCACATTCAACTATATGTCAAAAGAACTTCCCACAAAATATCTAATACAATCCTCAACGATTTCCTGTCTGGTTTAGGAGAATGTCTATTATTCTTGTAGTCTTTTCTGGATATTTAATCCTTCCCTTTTCCAGATCACAGACCATGTTGAAGTAATAAATTTGAAAAGCAAATAATAAGAAATAGGGAGGGGGAGGGGAAGAGAGACAGCTGCACAGGAAAGTTGGACAGGGGGAGGGGACAGAAGAGCTCTCAGCAGAGGAGAGGTCAACCTGTTCGTATTTTTCAATAACCTCTCCATGCTCCAAAATGTCAACTCTGACATCAGGAAAGATGGACAATTTACAAAAAGTAGGACATCAAGAACTAGGGACTTGTTTCAGAAGAAGCAGCATCCAAGGCAAATATTTGACAGGCTACAGTAATTAAGGAGCTGTAATAGGAATGAGTAACTTGATACTTCTGGAGGAAGGTGGGGTTGAGAAACCCCCCCCTACAATTAACTCCATCAGACTATGGAGTGTTGAAGGAACTGGCAGTTCAGATTGTATGGGGGCTTATTGTGGAAAGGAGGAAGGCTTCCAGCCCCCCATGTTTGCACTGAAATATTGTTGCAGCCACATCTGGCTCTTCTGATCATTACTGGACTGCCCATCTCTCCGCATAAACATAGCGCTGTTTGTACAGCACACAAAAATAGTTCCTCAGTAACAGTGCAGTCAGCTGACTGGAGTAGCCAGCAGAATTGCGGTCATACATGAAATTACAGAGCTGGAAGAATACACTGTAAACGTAGGCTCTGGGCTCCAGGCGATCTGATGTCCCTTGGCTTTGCACTTCTGGGGCACTTCTAATCAAACTTTCCCGGGTGCAAGGCACCGGGGCTCTCCTGGGTGCAAGCCAGGGAAACGATACAAGGTTTGATTTCAACACTAACCTGGAAAATGTCCACTTTTTCATAGTAATTTTAAACTAGCACATCAAGCAAAATGTATTGGTAAAGAGAGATAGTTGTTAATGCTTAACGTATTTGTGCTGGTTACATGAGTGCTTTGAAATACGCCCAGGCATATCTGCAAGTTATTTGAATGTATTATTCCAGTACCTGTCATTTATCACTTTATTCAACACGTCTTTGCCAGCTCAATAGCTTTTGATCTCACTCAGCCTCCATTTCGTAATTTCCGCCCTCTTAAACATATCGCATACTAAAAAAATGTGAACAATATCTAAATTCACAAGAAAAAAAAATCCCAGACCAAGCACTGAAATTAGGAGGGATAAACACACACACATACGCAGCAAAGCATGTGACGTTCAAACAGCAGCAGCAAGGGGTAAAAATGGATCATTAAAAATAATCCCCCACCCCCCAAACAAGTTATTTAATCTTTGCTGAACGCCCCTCAGGATGAATCGCACCCCCTGTGTGTGAAGCTGCCTTGCAAACTCTTACAATGGGAAGCAGCTCTAGTCCCTGGTAGTGGCACTACCCCTTTAACATGCTTCACGTTGTCTGCAGAAGGGAACATTTCAATCCTGTCCTTTAATAAACATTACAAGCAGGAAAAAAAAAATCCAGTCTCACGCAGAGACACAGACACAGACACACACATACAGAGAGAGATATGTTTACCACCTCGCCGTGGTCACTATTTCTGCCCTGGGGAGTATCTTCTGGGAGAAAATAAAGTTTGGAGCTGGATAAAAGTTGCCTGCTAGTCCTCTCTTCCCACAACAGCTGGAGCTCCGCTATGCAAATCGGATCCTCTGGCTTACATCTTACAAAGAAGAAGTCGCCAAGGGACAAAATTCTTGGTCTGCCTTCAAGGTGGAACTGAAAAGCCTTGTAGAAAATGTAAGGTCCGTGCAAACCACACGGAGAGCCGACCCACTGCAGGGGAAAAAAATAAAAATCAATTCAATAAAAGAAATAGGATATCATCATAATAAAAAAATGCTAGAGACACTCAGCTAGATCATACACGGACTAGAGGTGGGAATGAGATCTCCCAGGATGAGGAGTAAAGATCTCTAGGGGGAAAAAATCGCCATCACCTTATGATAATACCAATTTGTGTGATCAGTGGAGGAATTTAAAAAGCGGGGGGATGCCTTTTCGGGGTGCAGAGGGGCAAAGTTTGTTGGAAAGTTTGTGGGGTCCATGCGAGGCTGGCGGGGCCCCGGGGCGGGGGCGGGGGGCGCGGAGCAGACGATACCTGGACCGAGTTGGGCTCCATCTCGACGTTCTGAATTGATTGAACTCAACATTCTCTCCAAACTTGTTGGCTTGAATGGATTGCATCAGGTCCTGGCAGGGGAAAGCTCTCTCCTCCACCAGCCAGCCTGGAGCCTCAATATAAAACCCCAACCGCGCCTCTCCAGCTTCCCCAAATTGAGCGAAAAAGCAGCCCAATATTTCTCCTGAACCCCAATTTCCCAGACGAGTGAAATCGGGAGGGGGGAGGGCGGGATTTCCGCCCAATTGCTCCCCGATCAAATTGGCAGGGTGGGTGGGGGTTGAGCCGGAGCGGAGGACAGAGGCAAATAGATCAAGACAAAACTGGGATCGTAAACCCGCAAAAATCTTCCAACGCTGCTGCCTACTCGGGAACCTGGTTTCATTCCTGGAAAGCCGCCCGGGGGATGCACAGGGTCACCCTTCCATTTTTCATGGGCACAAAGGCTGCCCGGCTCCGCTGGGGATCTGACAGGACCTGCTTGTATATGTCTAATATAAAGAACATTTCCTGCAGAGATTCAGGGGCGCTGCTCTTCTTTCTAATTCTCTTTAGCAGATTTGCTTTTATTAGCATGCAGATTTGTTTGATAGTTACATTGCGCTCCCTCACTGCCATATTTCCAAGGAACTTAATCTGTTACATTAGCTGTTGGATGCCTCTTTTTTCTCTGGGAAAAGGAAGAAAGTGGGTTATCGATTATATAAACATATAAATATTAATGCATTTGTTCGCTTTGCAAAAAAAAAAAAAAAAAAGGACTCAGCAAAAAAGAGGGGGATAAGTGAGCACACACACAGGGACAGAGGCACATCCCCCCCAATCGCGGGATTTTTGCAAACACTATTGAACTGACAGCTACTGCATTTAGGGATGGGAACAATAACCGATGCATGAGAAATCAATACATGAGAGCAGTGGGCTGGTCGGAATTTAAATTCAGGCTGCTCCCAGATCTGCGTGTGCATTCTTTAATTTTGAAGTATATACACTCGTACGTGTTTACAATGCTGATCTGTGCCAAGGGCGCTCTCAAATTATAATGCGTTTATATAACCAAGTGCTACAGGAATACTGACTTAAACGCATACCCTCACTCACACACTAGAGAGCTGGAGCTACCTTGTAACAATTTGGAACTGGGAGGAGGGGGAGAAGGGGCGGGGGGTGGGGGGGAATCCATTTGGAAACTAGTTAAATACAACTAGAAATTAAGCTGTTTAAAACCAAGGGCATGAACCGTGAGACAATAAAGGCTTTAAATGTGTATATTTATTGTTCTGGAGCCCTGAAGCATTGCGAGGTTTGCATGTCGGGTTATTATGCAAACACTGAGAAACTTAAGAACGACAGAACAAGGGAAAGGCACAGCGACCACTGCAATCAAATAGCAAAGCCCAGCACCAATTCAGCAGCCTGGGTCTCCACTGCCAGCTTTCACATGCAGTTTCTCAGGGTGGCTGGAAAATGGTGCACTCTTTCCTCTCTGTCTCCCTCTGTCCCCCAGTTTTGTCATATTGGCACCGAGCCGACCCCAGTAGGACTGGCACGGTACAGAGTAAACATGTGAGATATGGGGAGTAAGGTCTGTACAGTATGACAGTTGAAACCTGATCTGTGATAAAATTACAGGATGTTGAAATTACTAGTAAGCTATTTTTAACGCTTTCGCAACGTTTCACCTCTAGCCACAGCGTCTAGCTGAAACAGGATTACTTTAATGAAATTTATATTCACGTGGCTGAAGTTAATACTGTGGAAGCGGAGCAGTGGGGACACATGGAGATCCTCAGCGACTGGAGGCTTTACAGTAGAGCCACCCCTATAGATATTTATAATGCATGTCCTCATTTTACTGCGAATTAGAGCACTTATCTGAACCCTACACTTAAAAAAAACATAGGGAAGGAATAAAAGCAAGATCCAGCTTGTTTCTGTATACAGAGAGATAAACGAAAGAAAATGGCAGGTCTTCAGATTACAGCAAGAAATAAAAGCCCATGCCAAAGAACTGGAAGCTGTCGAAAACTATTTTAATAATTTAAAGTAATATTACAACTCAGCCAGATGTAGGAGGCTCCATAACAACAATTTATGCTGTTCTTTTCTCATTCAGCATAAGTAAGTTAGATGATCTGTGGGCATCATTCTTTAATGAATTTTTCTTGAAATTTCATCTCAACGTTATATTCTAGAGAATATGTGGTTACAGAATGAAATTACAGTCCACTTTTTTCTTTTGACTTTATAAGGTAGTAAATACATCATGCATTTAATTAGATCAACCTACTTCAGTCATCTTTACATAGTGTGCCCATAGGTGGCCAGAAGGCATTTAAAGATTGCTTTTAACATGAGATGTGATTGATATGTGTATTAGGTTGTGCATTGTTCTGGTAAACAGCTAGTGTAGTTGAAGTGCGCTTGTTTTAGAGAACTTGGGTTGCAGTATTTTGACAAGATCATATTTAAGATTGACTCTGAGTCAGTTTCCTGTATAAGCAATGCAGCAGCATTTATGCAGGAAACCTCAATAGAATGCCTCCGGGCATTCCTCTATTGTATATTAACCTTTTTCCTCTTAATGCACAACGTTTTACAGCAGCTGAGCAACTTCTGTTTTGTTTGACGCTGTGGTCTTAAAGTGTCTAGAAGATACTTTTAGCTAATTGGAAACACTGTATCACTGTCTGGGAAAGGTAGGCGCTCCAGCGTACTGCATACTGCATAGTCCTTGTAGGGGGAAAAAATCTGTGATTGGGGTTTTCTGATGTTAACAATTGCAGTGGATAGTTGTGAACAGCTGCAATTCTGTAATTAGATTCACGCTGCATAAAGCCAGAACTCGGCCATAAAGACAGATCCCCTCCCCAGAAAAAAACCCTACCTCAAATAAAAGCTGGCGTTCAGGGTTTGTTGTTTTTTATAATGGGCATTTAACAAAAATATATCCCGTTGTAAATCCTTTCCTGCTTTACCTTTTCCAAATGCGATGCCTATTCCGCACCTGTAAATTATCTCCTCTGCAAATATCCATACAAAGAAAGTTTCAATTAAGATAAGTAGATTGTATTGAAACTGTTCTTTGAAGTAATGTAGTTAATAGCCTGTTTGATTTCTGCTTGTGAAAGAGTAATAACGTGTATTCAAGGCTCCATCAATCACAGAGCAGATGTAAGGCTTCAGACACTGACACCCAGGGGAAAGCACCAAACTCCTGCAGTGCAGGAGCTCTCTCCTAATGTAAAGTAAATACTCATAAACAGATTGAATGGTGTAGAAAGACAATCCATTCAGGACAGCACGAAAGCAACTGTTCTGTGTATCTACCAGAGCCTGTAGCAGGGCCTTACTGAGTAGAAAAGGGAAATAAGAGGGGGTTTTTTGTTTAGTGTTTATATTCCCAACCATTTCTAGTGTGTTTCCTATTCAGAGATACAGTAAACTGCACCCACACGCCTCTCTATTATTGCTTTTCTTGCAAAAAAGAAGCCTGGATCGCCTTGTTATCTGTTTTCTTGAAGAATAAGGGGTGTGTGTATTTGGGGGGGGGGGGGCAGGTTAGTCAATGTCTCTGAACCTTTTCATAAAGTAACTGGAGGATTAGGTTACTTACAAAACAAGGAGTGAAATAATTAGGGAAGCTTCAGCTGTAATAAACGCTGTCATAAAAAGTCTAGTGGGCAGGGATTGGAGCGTCACTGGAAAGTGCAAATGTCCCGCCTTCCCTTCCCCCACCTATTTTTTTCCAAGACAACTGAAGCATTTTTGACCTTGACTTCAATAATACTTCATGTTTTAGTACTTTAGTCAGCAGTTTATGTACTAATTGCTACACACTACCGCATGTGGCTTGAATCTGCAATTGCAGCTCTCTTTTAATGGTGAGTGAATTGCTTGATAAAGACTGGGAATTCAAGCAGGCTCAGTTGTCCCCCACCTGCCCCTCCCGTTTTCCCCTTTCCTCCTCCACCCCCTATTTTCCCCCCTGCTAGGAACCTCTTATTTTTCCGGCGATACCAGAGATCAGAGCAAGGAAGCAAATTGTCCAGTAATCTCCATCAAAATGTCAGACACGTCAGTGTGCGCAATCGGGGGAAGAAAAAGAAGAAGAAGAAAAAAGAAACGCGTAAGAGATGTGGGGCGGGGGGATGCTTTGCAGAATTAATGCAGTGATCATAATCATCCTGCTCTAGCTCCTATAGGACTGGGCAGGGCTGTGTCTGCACAGAGGATCCGGAAAATCTGTGGCTGAGCGACCCCCCTCTAATGATTCTCGAGATGAGCCCCCGCCCCAAGCCAACGCAGCCCCCAACAAGGTCAGCAGGTACTCTTAGTCTTGGGCAGCATCTACAGGCAAGGATTCTTTTGCCATCGTGCCCCTCCTCCCAGCAAATCCATCGCAGCCATGGAAGAGGGGGGAAAACCAATCAAACCTCTGTCCTTACTCCTGCCGTCATACCCATCATTAATATGTACATCATAATATACCATAGCCCAGGCTGCTGCTAACGTGAGGCAGCAACAAGTCTATTGCTTCAGGGCAGGAATCAGCCGGGTGACTCGGGTCAATGCTTTCCCTGCGACCTCTAGTGCTCGGAGCTTGTGTAGCACCTTGGCTTTGCTTTTGGTCCCTTGCCTGGTTTTGCTCCTACTTTATTATAGGGTTTGTTTATTGTGGCGACCCTAGCTGTAAATGAAGCACTCTCACTGCAGACTACTATTTTAAGGCGCTTATCACTTTCCGAGCTGGCATTTCTTATGCTGCTCGGCATTTTTTTAAAAGGAGTCTGTTAAAAATGATGTTTTCAATAATTCACAATTTTATTTATTTATTTATTTTCATCGCAAGGTTTTTTAGGGGGCAGGAGCCTGTGTGTTTCTGCAGCACCATGATCTGACATGAGTCAGGCCCTTGATCCAACATGAGTCTTGTGGTTGCCACTGTCCTACAAATGATCGACAATGGGACTTTTTTATACTGCAAGCTGTTGAGGGCAAAAATATCTTTATCTTTGGGAGAGAGCCCAGCATGTTTATTAATAGTAAACTTCTCTGTATCTCTGTTTGATAAAGACTGGGAATTCAATTAACTAAACATGGAGGAAGTCTTTCTTCCTGAATTATGGAGAGTGGAATTTTTTTT